AGCTAGTCACCGAGCTCTATAACCCAGCGAACCAACGGGACCCCGCCAGAATTAATGAGATCCAGACGCGCCTCCAGCAACTCCAGAAGACTGAGAATGCATGGGCAATTGCTGACTCACTTCTACAAAATGAACACTCTGCCCAGCATCGCTTCATGGGAGCCCTTACATTCACAGTAAAGATCAATGTCTCATGGTACGGATAATCTCTCCGATCCGCACGACTTCGACCTCATCCTAATGTGACAAGTGATTGCTGATCCCGGGTATTATTAGGAATGAAATCAACCAAAATTCGGCCACAGAGATTATGCAGCATCTGATCAATCGGTTTGTTGCTTTGGCAACCAATGGTGAACAAGCAATGGTTGTGAGAAAGCTTGCCTCAAGCTTGGTCGCCATTTTCAGGCACCCTGTCACACCATGGAAACAAGCTATCTGGCAACTGGCCGCAAGCCTCGTTCACGGCGGATACGTATCCGAGGATCAATCACAAGCGGTGGATTTTCAGGAGCAGATACTGCCAGCTTTGAGCAAGAGTGGATCAGGTGCCCTACTGTTTTTCTCCATTGCGCTCGCCGAGGAGGCTCTCCGACTTGATTCCGAACCCCAGGAAGGGTCTGGAGACAGCTCTGCTGTACAGCGAGCCATACACAATGTAAAGGATGGGTTGCTCTTAGTTCAATTTGTTCTTGGGGAGATCATGCAGCACGCAAAGGTAGCTGGGGATGATGTGATTGATGTGGCACTAGCGGCTGAAGCCATGAATTCATGGAAGGTGAGTTAATCTCTGTTTTTGGTATTTCCGTCATGAAGAGCGCGATCGCTAATTTAAGTCTTACCTCGCAGACATGGCTAGGTATTCATGGGAATCGCCAACGCTCTTCTGCTGGAGATGTCAATGCATTGTCTGTGCAATGTGGCCAGACCGTCATTGAGACATTGAGGATACCCAGCTTGAGCGAGAGTGCAGCTTCTATTTTGACCCAAGCCTTTGAAAGCCGCCGCTGGGCGTTTGACGACAACTCATTGTGGCTTATATCTGAAATTATCGCCGATTCAATAGTAACAGTTCACATTGCTGCTGTGAGGAGTGGCGACGAAGGAGTGGAAAGCATGTCGTTTGTTGACCTTTTGATTGCATATGTCTCGCATTTGCACTTGGATCTCTTCAGCGATCCCATGACCCCACAAAATGCAGCGATCCTCACATTTGTCCACGGGATTTTCAAAACCCCTGGCTATGCTTCCATTGATGATCTCGGAACCCCACGTGTCTTGGAGTTCTGGAACGACATCGCAGAGAGTCTCCCTGATCAACTCGAAGAAGGAAGCTCCAGGTATGACTTGGTAAAGTCACATCTAGCTGAGGTTGTCTTGGGTCTTTCCAGCAAACTGCTATATCCCAGGTCGGAAGACTTGGAAGACTGGGGCGAGGAAGAGCGGAGTGAATTCGGTGCCTTCCGTCATGAGGCCTGTGATTACTTACTTTCAGCATACCCTGTTCTCGGTGTCGAACTGGTCACTGTCTTCCAAAGAAGCGCTTCGTCCTGCCTGGAAAGTCGGGACTGGCGCAATTTTGAGACTGCCATGTTCTGCATAGCTCAGCTCTCAGAAGCAGTAGATGAAAATGGCCATGCCGATCAGTGTCTCGATGCCATCTTTGGCAGCGATGCTTTTGCCAGGCTGTGCGCGGGTGGGGAGACTGGAATACCACTCAAGGCTCGTCAGACCCTGGTGGATTCATTCGGAAAGTACGAATCCTACTTTGAGCGTCACAGTTTGTTACTTCCGGGTGTTCTGAACATCCTGTTCGAGTCTCTCAACTTCGAGCTGTGTGCGCACACGGCTTCACGGTCGATATTGACTCTTTCAAAATCGTGTGCTCGTGTCTTGACGTCAGATCTTCCTGCATTCTTAGATCAACTGGACCAATTCAGAAGCAAGCCGACAGCAACTGTCTCCACCATGCCTAAAGTCCTGGAGGGAATTGCGACCATCATTCAGAGCCTGCCTAGTGACCAGGAAAAAGTACAGATGCTCGAGAGAATTCTCGGCTTCTTTGTTCAGGAAGCTAACACAGCACGGGAAGAGGTTACCGGTCCTGCTCATGAATTTGGCCGTCTACGCGGACACCTCGTGCTGAGCTGCATTGCGAGTGTCGGAAAAGGCCTTCGTTCAGAGAGTGAAGTCATCGATATCGAGCTCACAAAGGAAGGAAACCCATATCCTCCATCCTTCTGGAACTCCGGACCAGGCTCCGAAGCCCAGCGCCTGATTATGGAGGCCATGAGAGTTTTGATTGTCGATTTTCCCGTAGACAGCAGCATCATTGAAGCAGCCTGCGATATTTTGAAAGCTGGCTACACTGAGCGGGCTGGGCTTTTTGTCTTCCCGCCCTCTATGACAGTGGACTTTATCAAGAGCTTTCCCCTCGGCATCTCTGGAACAGATGTCATCATGGCGACCGCCTCTTCATTTTTGGCATCTCACGCTCGGCATGCGATGAATATTCGCAGTGAGGCCGAGGCACTCATCGATCATGTAGCCCAGCTCTTCTCCTCGATGCTCCGGGATGCGGATGTGTACGACCCCGAGACCGCAAATGCTGGTATTGATTTCCTTACACGCCTTCTACCAAAATACTACCCGATATTATTTACTCCTCTGAAGTCAAACCTGGGCGCAGAGTCTCCTCTCGCTGTGCTTCTTCATTTCACGCTTCACGCATTGACACGACCTGAACCACTTCCTCTCAGGGCTGCATCTGCATTCTGGATTGCATTAATAGATCTCCGCGGCAGCTCTACAGAAGAAATGAGCATACTCGAATCAGTCCACCAGGAGTTTATCCCACGCTTGTGTTACACAATCATTCAGCAGATCGCAGGCCGATGCGCAAGATCAGACTTGGTCTCTCTCAGCGATGCCTTGAGACGCGCTATTTTCAAAAAGATGGCAATGACGCGGCCGGCTCTAAAGGCTGCACTGGACTCTCTGAACGCTCAGGTCACAGATGCAAATGGACAACAAGTGCCGCTCCTATCGGCGCAAGACAAGTCGCGGTTCTTGGAGTCTCTCGCCATTGCTAGAGGCGGCCAGAAGCCGTCTCTAGATCTTGTGCGTTCCTTTTGGTTGAAATGCCGTGGGTTGAATTTCGATTACGCCCAGTAATGGAACTTGCGCATTGGTACACGACCTGATGATGGGGGTGCTTGGAGTTGATGGGTCCTGCAACTTCGGTGTTCATTTAGATATCCATTCGCATGACTTGCGCGGTGCAATTTGATTTATTCCTACTTGAGAGTTTCTAATTGCATTAATTTAAGTGCCAAAATTGAGAACTTTCCAAAATGTTGAACAGTTCAGCCGCCATGCATACAAAAAGGAATGGAACTGCTACTTCCAGAGGTACAAGATCCGCACCTAGACTCCTGTCCAGGTAGGATGCGCCACTGGATCAACCCCCCAACACGTCCTATCTTGTACCTGGACAAGAACAATTCCAAAAATCAAACAGCCAAGTTCAACTTGAGCACTCAAGAATCAGTTCATTTGATTGCGCGTGCTGTATGGTCGTGGCATCCTTCAGCTTTTCGGGGTACAACCCACCCGGGTTTCTGGCGAATGTCTCAACTTTCTAAACCCACACCATCATCCATGGATGTGACTATAAGACCCACTTGGCATTGACGTACTAGCTTTCAAAAAATCAGTGATAGACGATCTCATTTTCAATCGCTTCGTTCTCGTTGACATTATCGGGATGATTTGGCTTTATATTGCATCCACGAACGTTGGGCTCAAGTATTGAGATTGTGCCTATCCCAGATTCTACAGTCCGTGCTCAATCACTATCCTTCTAGCTACAGCACCGAGCAGATGCATCTCCTCAAGTAAACATCTGAAAGAACATCGAAAATAACCACCACATGCGCTATCCTACTGCCCTTGCGAGCTGGAATAGGAACCAAAAGATAAACAGTGAGAAGAGGAGAATCTAGAAAGCTCTATAGATGCACGGGGGAGAAAAGAAGGGTTGATATTGGAATAAGCGAATGTTTGGCACTGATGCAACAGATTCGACATAACTACCCTGTAATACATAGCTGGAACCTAGCACTACCCAACCGAGTACATACGATTCTTGTAGAATCTTAGGAGTGAGTAGTGGTCACGTGATATCGGAATTGTGATGCTACATCGAACCACCAATGACAGTTCAACGAATTGGATGTAGAAACTCAGGAAAGGTATCTCCAGGCATTTCCTCTAGCTCTAATCCCCGACACTGTTCTAAATTGTAGTCCAATAGGCCTGTAACGAATAGACATATCCAAGCAAGCCCCTCTCTGCATAGCTTCTCAAGCTCAGAGCGTACATTTATGCAAAAAACGTTATTTAGTCATCAGTGGCAGTTTGGCAGAGTGGTCTAATGCGGTTGACTCGAAATCAACTCTCCTCGGAGGCGGCGGTTCGAATCCGCCAGCTGTCGTTTTTACTTTTTTCTTGCTTCTATCATCCTCAAATTTGGGTTAATTATGGCAAGCCCATACCAACAACTATGTTCGCATTCTTTCAACAAGACCGAGTGGCCAAGCGATATCCTGAATTCGACCTCCTAGTGGAAAATAGTACATTCGGGATCCGAGTCGAGTCCTAGTGCTGACGTCTGAAGTTCATTTTTCCCCTGGGGTTTTTGTTCTTCAAAAGAAAGTCGTGGAGTTTATTGACATGCATGAAAAAGACTCTAGTTGACCCTGGGATCCAAGTAGGTAGAGGTAATAACGAACATTGGAAGCAAGCCTAGTCCAGTGTGTTGCCTTCAGCATTCTATCATTGATACCATACCAACACGCTTCAAGAAGATTGGCTCCAAAATGACAAACGATTCAAATCGTATAGCATATATGTCACGTTGGACATGTACTCATGGCTCATGTACAAGAAATCATGGGACGCAATGATCAAGGCTGAAACAAACTGACACAAAAGCAAATTTACCAACCGCGGCCAGCCAACTTGTCAGCTTCCGGCAAGTGCTTAACGTTGATACCTACCATGGCCTCACCAAGACCCTGGCTAACCTCAGCTAGAATCTTGGGGTCCTTGTAGTGAGTAACAGCCTGGACAATAGCGCGGGCGCGCTTCTTAGCATCACCGGACTTGAAGATGCCAGAGCCAACAAAGACACCATCGCAGCCCAGCTGCATCATAAGCGCTGCATCGGCAGGGGTGGCAACACCGCCAGCGGCGAAATTAACAACGGGTAGACGGCCGAGCTCAGCAGCCTGGCGAACAAGCTCATAGGGAGCCTCGATCTCACGGGCGAACGCGCGCAACTCAGGCTCGGCGTCCTGGCTAGCGAGGAGGATACCACGGGCACGACTGATTTGTGCATTGACGGTGCGCATGTGCTTAACGGCCTCCACGACATCACCAGTGCCAGCCTCGCCCTTAGTCCGGATCATAGCGGCGCCTTCGGAGATGCGGCGCAGGGCCTCCCCGAGGTTGCGGCAACCGCAGACGAAAGGGACTTTGTAGTTGTACTTGGTGACGTGGTATACATCGTCGGCGGGGGTGAGGACCTCGGATTCGTCGATGTAGTCAACGCCAATGGCTTCTAGAATCTTGAGGCCGGTAATTGTTAGTGTTGTCGTTACTTTTTTATTTGCTTCCCGCGCCACCGGGAGATCTCCGTTCCCCCACCGTGAAGCTATCTACCCCCCTCCCCGCAATGGAGACAAAGATCACATACCTGGCATTCAACAAAATGTCCGATACGGGCCTTGGCCATGACGGGAATGGTTACGGCTTCCATGATCTCTTTGATCATACCAGGGTCAGACATGCGCGCGACGCCACCTTCAACGCGAATATCAGCGGGGACACGCTCGAGGGCCATGACGGCAGCGGCACCGGCTTCTTCGGCGATGCGGGCCTAGTGGTGAAACCTGTCAGTATTCTATACCAGATAGCATCAATTGCCAGAGAGATTATACCTGCTCGGCGTTCACGACATCCATGATAACGCCACCCTTCAGCATCTGGGCGAGGCCGGCCTTGACAGTGAAGTCATTGCCGGTGGTTCGGTTTGGAGCAGCCATTGTGATTTGAGTGATGGATAAAATTCGACAACGAAGATGAACAGAGGTGAATCGAAGTAAATAGGAATAAAAAGAAAACAAAGAAAAGAAGGTCCCAAAGGTGAGTCAGTAGGAAATACACTTTCCCCTCAAAGTTCCTTGCCTTAGGCCAATCACACTCAGAGCGCCCCTCGCCAGCATCCCTACTCGTCTCTCCGTCTTCCGAGGATACCCACCTCCCGGGTGAAGAACAGCCCACCGCTTGCTATCTACGAATTGGATCGAGAGTCGGGAAATTTGCTGTCACGTTACATTGGCTCTTGGCTCTTGGCTCTTGACCCTTGGCTCTTGACCCTTGGCTCTTGACCCTTGGCCCTAATGTAACTGCTAGATTCAATGGGTGAGATAACTTCGGACGGAGTGCTCCGTAGTGCATGACTTGCTACAATGTGGGGGCAGCTACATTAGGCAGTTCCATAGAATGATGCAGCGCCGTGGAAGTGACTCATCATTCACTGATACTACATATCCCAATCTGGTAGGTGAATTGCTTTGATTAGGATGCCGTGGCAGTGTGTCTGGCCATCAGCACACGAGTTTCGGTCATGCGTACGATGCAGGATAGTCACAATGCACATAGCTACATGTCCCTATCAACCTTGCATTGCATGCATTCCAGCTGCCCATGCATCTCCCAGTAGTCATAAGAACATAAGATACTAATAATGAATCTAACAAGTTAGATGTAAACGGCAAGATGTAAAAAAAAACCCCCCACCGAACTTCAGAGCCTCAACCCTTCAGATCCATTCAGGATGAGCTCAACTATACATGACGTCATCCGTTATCCTTATCGGCCAAGGGAGCTCATCTCCACCAAATCCGACTCTCCAACTCCCTTAATTGCAAGAGACAAGCAAAATACAATGTCTTTCAGAGTATTCACTCACCAACCTGCAACCCTTCTCCGCCTGGGTCTAGGCATCGGCATAGGCCTCTCCGCGGCCACTATGCATCCCTTGTCACCCTTCCGGGCCGCCCCAATGCAATGCCAGTACGCCGTGCCCCAACAATCTTTCAATAAAGATCCAAACTGGGCTGTCAATCCCGTCGAATCTGTAGGACAAAAGCAGATCCATTCGCGGCGGATTGGGCTGTTGAACGCGGAAACTATGCGCCAGGTTAGTTTGGGCAGTGTCTTGGGGCTTGTTGCTGGTGTTGGGTTGAGGGCGTTTTCGAAGGCTTTGGTTGTAATTTTGGGGATGGGAGTTGTTCTGATTGAGGTATGTACAAGCTTCTACCGGGAACTTGGACATTTGCTTGGCTTGAGTGTTTGGCTTCTAGATGGGTTAGACTTGGGACGGTGCGCTGATGCTTTTTCTCGATCATAGTTCGCTGCGTCCAAAGGGTACAACATCCTTCCGATCAACCGGATTCAAAAATATGTTAAGAGCGTTGATCTTCGTCGCGCTATGAGTGAGAAACGGCCGTTCAAGATGAGTTTCGGTGCTGTGATGGCGATGGCGGCCTTTGCGAACTTTTAGGCTCTTCTTGTTTGGTTAGATGGAGATCTAACGCTTACTTGTACATAGACTCGAATAATGCCAGGTTGGACGTAGCCAATTGACAAGCACGCAATTTAGGCCATGGGACATCCAAATAAGGATTGGTAAAATGTTCATTCGTACAGGGTATCATGAGTCTTGATCTTTTCCACACCAGATGAGGAGAGGAATCTACGCTACCCCAGTACCAGATCCTCTAGCACGCCCTCCATCTCATCGCGGGACAGTGGCACACCAAGTATCTCCATGCCGCTAGCATCCATGCGCGAAGTGATCATCTGGTGGTCGTGGAACTCCTTCAGCAAGGTACGGAACATCATCTCCGAAGAAGCGACAAACTCCTCCGTTGCCTTCTGGTAAAGCAGACGGAACTCGATGCCGGTTTCATCGCTAGCCTTCCCGCCACCTTCTCCCGCGCCTTCGTCGTCTGACTGATGACCGTCGTCCAGTAGAGTGATCAGTTCTGTCAGCAGGAGGCGGTACAGGTTGCGTGCATTCTCTGGGAGACTCTTGAGCACAAAGCCCACACCGTCTTTGCCACCAACGCGGCGGCCCTTGCGTCCAAGGAGAGTGTTGACCTCCTCGACGACGTCGGCCTCCGCTGAGAACGGTAGGAAGGTTGTACAGTCATGGAAGACGAGATTGAGCTGATCACGCAGACTGATATCCCACATGACCAGGAAATTGGGGGTATCGGCTGTGACCAGGAGACGAATGCGCGGTGTTGCAGCCAGACGGGCGAGTAGCGCTTGGTTGGCTGCGCGGCGGAGAGGTGGGGCGTCTATCGAGTTGATCAAAACTGTGACGGGCTCCTCATGCGACTTGAGCGCAGATTGTAGCAGTTCTAGGACCTCGGTTGGCTGTGCACCAAGCTTGGATGGTGCATCTTCGCCCATTACGGCTGTGACGATCGTGGCGAAGATTGATCGGATGGAGATGCCTGGTGTGTAACCATTGACTATTACAATGATCGGAGTCGTAGTGACCAACAAACGTTGGTTATAAACCCACTCCGCGAATTCGTCCACCAGTTTGCGCTTGGAGCCATAACCAAATAGGCAGATGTTGAACCCTTCATCGAACTCAAATGCCCACTGCGGGAAAGATCGGTGGTGCAAGGATTGTAGGTATTCCTTCTCTTCCTTGCACGGATCTTTGTATTGTCCAAGTTTCTCGAAATATTCTTCATGTGTTAACAACGGTACCTTGCTGAGGGTTGCGTTTGATGTCTTGACAGGACCAGCGCGGTTCTGGAAAAAGTATCTTTCGTGTGCAGGGAGCTCGCCTTCCGGGGTCGGCGAGCGTTTATTTCTCGCACCTTTCGGTCGTCCTGCACGACGCTTTGGTTGCTTTGCTCCCTTCTCAGGAGCCTCGTCTGCGCCTTCAGGTTCTATGCTCTCAGCCAGAGACTGACCCGCTTTCCCCGTATCCGGCTCATCTCCGTGTAAGATTTCTTCTGCTAGTCGTTCCGATCCATCCCAAGCTGCATCTTCGTCTTGCTCGAATAGTACTCGCGCGCTCTTCTTCCGCGCAGACCGGTCTGCATTTTTAACCCGAGATGGGGTCGCTGCGATTGCAGACTTGGGCTTGGTAGGCGTAGCAAACAAACCACGAGCCTTAGATCTTTGGGTCGGAGTTCTCAGCCCAGACTGTTGTAATGGCGTCCCGGAGACACCGTTGGCTTTTTTTGGTGTTGATTGACCCCGTCCTAATGGAGGAAGCTCGTAGGAGGCATCGCCGTTCGGAAGCGCGCCGTTGGGCGCGTGGCCGTTTACTGCGCCCGTGGATTGTTCTAGGGCCGTTCGTTTTCTTTTTGGAGTCGAGACAGGCGATTGGTCGCCGGCATCTGAGAGCTTACGCTTCATGACGGTCGAGTCAGATTACAGTCGCGTAGACGCGAAGGGAAAGGAAGTAACAGTACCATCAGATCCGGAGAATGTGCACAGAGTCAGGACGCAAGGGGCTTCTAAGGTTGGTAAATTCGAGATCTCGTAATTGCAGGGAGATGCAGGTCTGACACTGAAATGCAGGGCTTTATTTGGGGCTTGATTGGGGCTTAATTCGGGCTCGAAGTGCTTGAAGGAATTAAATTGGAGCGGATGGGTTTCTCCGACTCCGTCGCCAGCCTGGAGCCCTCGAGGTACAACGCCTGGAAGTATAACGGCAAGTGTGGACTACAACGCCTTGAACTCAACACAATCTGCGAGATTTTACCTCGAGCTAGCCTCATATACGTCATCTATGGAGTTTCTAGGTTATGTCGATTTATGCAAAGTAGCTTGATTTCTAGCTCAGAGACCTGGACTAGAAAAGGTGTGAACGTCATGTGAGCAGCTTCGCTGATTTATTCCAATTCTCTATTCGTGCCAATTATCAAGTAAAATTCAACTACTAGAAACGAAATCATCAATTTTCTCCCATATCTCAATAGCAGTGGGCTCTGAGCAAATTGTAGCCGAGTGGGGAGCTCCGGAGATCGGCCACTTTTTCCCTTCTCAAAGAGGTTTGACTCATACGAGCACCATCCCTTGTAAACAGCTAGTGTGTAGCAAGTCTAGCAACATAGACGAGACTCACACATGGTTCCAACGCCTCATTCTGCCACCATGGCCACCTCCCTCGCCCGCATGCTCAAGGGACAAGTCCGATGCTACTCCGCACCGCTGGACATGGCCATCCCGGCCTCCAAACAGCGTTACATCCCCACGACCGGCACCTACCCCAAGGGCTTCCAGGTGTCTGGCACCCATGTTGGTGTCAAGGCCTCCAACACCCGCTTCCCGGATCTCGCCCTGATCGCCTCCGACACGCCATGCTCAGCTGCTGCTGTGTTCACAACCAACAAGTTCCAGGCTGCGCCAGTGCAAGTTAGCAGAAAGACGCTGCAAAGCCGCAAAGGCAATGGCATCCGCGCTGTTGTCATCAACTCAGGCTGTGCCAATGCTGTCACCGGCAAGGGTGGTTTAGAGGACGCAGTGCAGATGGGAAGAAAGGTGGATGAGTGCAGCGGTGTTGAAAACGACAGCTCGTTGGTGATGAGCACCGGTGTCATCGGACAACGGTAAGGCTGCCATCCTCAATTGCATACATAATCCCCCCTCCCCACAACTAATAAAACATCCACCAGCCTCCCGATCTCCAAGATCCTCGACCGCATCCCAACAGCGCACTCAACCCTCGCCTCCACACACGAAGCCTGGCTCACTACAGCCCGCGCAATCTGCACAACAGACACCTTCCCCAAGCTCCTCTCGCGCACCTTCACCCTCCCCTCTTCCCCAGACCGCACCTACAGCCTCGCAGGCATGACCAAAGGCGCCGGCATGATCCACCCGAACATGGCAACACTGCTCGGGGTCCTCTGCACGGACGCAGCGGTCGAGCCTGCAGCGCTGCAATCGATACTGAAACACGCCGTGTCGCGATCCTTCAACTCGATCTCTATCGACGGCGACACTAGCACAAACGACACTATTGCTGTGCTTGCGAATGGCGCTGCAGGCGGCAAGACTGTGCGCGCGCCGGCCGCGTCTGCTAGCGCCGATTACACCGCGCTGCAGGGCGTTGTGACAGATTTCGCGCAGGAGCTATCGCAGCTGGTTGTGCGGGACGGCGAGGGTGCTACCAAGTTTGTTACTGTGCGCGTGCGTAATTCGCCGGATTACGAGTCTGGGCGACAGATTGCTTCGACGATCGCGCGCTCGCCGTTGGTTAAGACGGCTCTTTATGGTAAAGATGCTAACTGGGGTCGGATTCTTTGTGCCGTGGGTTATACGCAGGGTGTTGCGGAGGGGACTGTAGTTCCTGAGCGCACTTCTGTCAGCTTCCGTCCGGTCGATGGCAGTGAGGTTTTGCAGCTGTTGGTTAATGGTGAGCCTGAGGCTGTTGACGAGAAGCGGGCTAGTGAAATTCTGCAAAATGAGGATCTTGAGATCGAGGTTGACCTTGGTGGTGGTGAACAGGGGGCTGCTGGGTGTGGTGGTGAGGATGCGGTTTACTGGTTCTGTGATTTCAGTCACGAGTATGTGACTATCAACGGTGATTATCGGACTTGAAAGCGATGTAATTGAGCATTGTTAGCGAAAGAAACCAAGGGAATTAACCAGCTTGGGAGTAAAGGCTTCGGGAGGATGCCCTGAAGTTGCGAACAACAGCCGTTGAAATGCATATTTGTGTGAACGAGGTTGAGGATCATGGCAAGTTGAATATATGATTTTTGGTTTTTTAAGAAACTTATGGTTACAAAACCCTTAAACCGGGCATTTTTTCATCGCTGAGCACCGTCTATCGAGTGATATCAGACCCATATGACTTTGCACATGGACATAGGACGTTGACACGGTTGTGTCGACGTAAAGACAACCCAGGAAAAGGGGACCTAGGATGTTCATCGACAGGTTGATTAACCTGCACGACTGAATATCAATTGGTATAGTTCCAATTCAACCAAACAGACGGCGCCGATCCATTCACCCAAAAAGTATAAAAGTAGAGCGGACAGAAAAAAAAAGACAGAAAGTAAACGGAGAGGTTGCAAAGGACCGGTATAATCCCATGTCATGCTGCTCGTGAAAATACGGGGCAGTCCGTTTAGCTGCCGGGGACGAGACCCTTGAGACCAGCGCCAATATCACCCTCGCGGGCGGCAATTTCGAAGTAACCGTAGATGATGCTGTATTGAGCTGTTAGCTGGGATAAATACAAGATAGATGTCAGCGGAGGAACTTACGTGACGGCAAGAAGAATACCAGTACCGCTGCCGAGGGCACCCATAAGGTCAGAGGCGACGGACAGACCACCAATACAGGCACCACCGAAAGCAGCGGCAGTAGGAATAACGCGCTTCAGCTCCTTGTACATACTTTGCTCACGGTGACCTGACATGACGAGACCCTGGTCCTTGAGCTGCTTGGCAACGTCACGGGGAGCGGAGCCGGAAACCTCGATCCAGGTCTTGGAGAAGAGGGCGCAGGCAACAAGCATGAAGGTGATGTAGACAGCGGTGTGGATGGGGTCGAGAAGAGCTTCCTTAAAGTTGAGAGGAGGGGACATATAGTAAGCAATACCCGAGGCAGCGTAAAGCTGAGCAGATCCCTCGCGGGGCTCCCAAACTCCGAGAAGCTGAACCAGGATGTTCTCGGAGAAGCGCGAGTACAGCATCTGACTGATGAGGAAGATGTTGGAACACAAAGCGGACTGGAGCATGATAGGCATGTTGGAGGTGTAAAAGAGGCGAACGGGGTAGGAGCCGCGCATGCCACGCTGGCGGGAAGACTTGACGGGGATTTCAACACGGAAGCCCTGCAGGTAGATGACAGCGGCGAAAACGACAAGAGTAGCCAGGAGGTTCATGACGTTGGGCAGGTTCTGGCGGTAGAACGCCTCGTACAGGGCGCGTTGCTTATCGGGCCAGGTCAGAAGAAGGTGGAACAGAGCGATGATAGCCCCCTCGAACTCGGGGCCACGGCCAGTGTTGATGGTCGTGGGGGAGAAGGCCTTCCAAACAATCGACTCGCAAATGTTGGTGGCAATGAAAAGGGAGATACCGCTGCCCAGACCGTAGCCCTTCTGGAGAAGTTCATCAAGCAGAATAACAACAAGACCAGCCACGACCAGCTGGACAATAAGGAGAACACAGATACCGGCACCGAGGTCACTGGGCTGGCCGTATAGACCAGTTAGGACGTAAACACAGGCCTGGCCGAAGGAGAGAATAATGGCGAAGAGCTTCTGAGCGGTCTGGTAGAGCTCACGATCGGTCTTCAAGTCGAGGTTAACATCAATGAGGTGAGTACCGGCAAGGAGCTAGAGAAGAATCTCCGTCAGTACAATTACCGCGAATAAAGATTTGATGGTGGTCTGGAATCGCATACCTGGAAGACCATGCCAGAAGAGATAATAGGGGTGATACCCAGCTCCATGAGAGTGCCCCGGTTACTGGCCAGCATCATACGGAGCCAGTACAAGGGATCCGAAGTGTCCGAGGAGACAATGCCGTAAAGAGGCATCTGACTCATAACCAGGAAGATCATCAAAGTCAACTGTAACGTAATTTCATTAGGATTCAGGCCGGCTTCGCGGAGAGAGCGGATTCAGGGCGACATACACCAGTCCACATCAACTTCTGGTTGAAGGGCACCTTCGTCTCAGGAGCTGCCACCTCCGGGAGGAGGGGCGTGAAGGGCTTGATCAAGTCAAGAAAGCGTACTATATTGCTCCATCAGCATTTTGACGATCAATTGAGGCCGATTCGAGGCGGATTGTCGCGACCGCGTGCGAGACGATGATTTGGGGACTCACGGCCGCTCATGGTGGCTATCTTCCTCCCAATCCGTTAAAGAAGTAAAGAAAGCTGGAGTTTAAAAACCAGCTAAAGGAATGGAAGTGAAATACTAAGAAAAGAAAAACAAAAGGAGAAAGGTGAAGTTGTCGAGAAGATGGGGGGAGGAGGGAAGAAGAAGACAGAAGACGTTCGCTGGCCACTTTTCACTTCCGCGCTAATTAAGGCCACTTGGTCTTCGCCGCAACAACCAACTTGGTGACTCCCAAAAAGAAATGGAATCTTTTGGCGATAAATACTATACCAAGCTCTAATTCAATTCTCCCGACTCAAATTATTTCCGGCTATTCTTGCAAATCCGATGTGTTTGTGCACCCCCAAAAACAAGGCTCCAAGCTATCCCCACAATCCAGAGGCCACGGTACTAACTACGCGATCGGGACAGCTAGGGGTCCAGGGTCTATAACGTATGGGGTAGTTATATGAAATGAAATTGGTATCCATACACAAAATAAATTTTCTCACTGCTTTAGTCATATAAATAAAATGCCGGCATTCTGTAAAGAGTGTAATATTACCAAATGAAAATCAGGAAAATCTACTGTCAAGGTCCAACAAGACCTAGGCAATCATCAATGACCACCTCCAGCTCTCCCAGTCGTGTCTTTAGGCCCCGGTTCTCATCTTGCAGAATACCCATAACACTCCAGGCCTCGGAAGCGGGTACACCATAGCAGATGTTGCAATTAGAGGCGTTGCTGTTACCACCGGAGAAGGAGCTCCCTAAACGGGTTGAAGCCAGACCCTTCAACACCCGATCATATGCCGATGAGCGCGTACTAGTGACCGTGGCCAGGTTCTTCTGGATTGCAGCTGTTGGCAACGGGCCCGCCGGCGTAGACAGGGCAATCTGCGACATGTTGGGAGACGGCGCTGTCAGCGTGGAGGTGGGAGACTCGACACCCTCACGCTGCGAGAAGATGCTATCCGCAACGCTTTCGTCACCGGACTCGAAACCTGAGTCACTGGTGAAGGTGCTGTGGCTAGCACGCTTGCCTCCACGCCGAGGAGTTTGGAGCGCCGTGGAAGGCATGTCGTCATCGGGATGCACCATACGCATCGTATCACTGCGACTGCGGGATTCTTCAGTCTTTCGCATTTGTCTCTCTTGCTCCAACTTCTCGGCCATGGCCTGCATGGCTTTCTCCTGGTCAAGCACCTTGGCGGCCATGCCGTCCAGTTGCATCCTGAGGTGATCGACTCTGGAGCGAGTTTCTTGGAGCTCCTCCTGATTTTCATTTTTGTCTGCTAAAGCTTGGTGCATGGCAAAGGTGCGCTGCTTATAGGCCTCCTGCATGCGTCGTAGTAATTTGTCAGCATGATCTCGTAGGGCATCCAGTGCCTCATCGTTGGTATCGTCGGATTCAGGTATCGACAGAGCGGCAGTGATGTCAAGGTTCAACAACTCGTCATCTGCTGGTTCCGGGAAGTTGGGTCTGTTCGGTTGTCGCCGCAGACCGAAGAATGAGAATCGAGTCGCCGGGGTCGAGCTCTGCCTCTTATGTGACATGGATGTTGGAGCTGGGCGGGAATCCAATCCGATCCCATTTGAGGCACCGTTGGGGCCCATTTTCAGTCCCAACTCAGCTTGACCTGATTTCCCCTGGAACCAATCTGACAAGACCCTGGCTCTTGCTTCAAGTTTCTTCTTCGGGAAGGTTTCCATCCAAGGGGTATTCTTCGAGCCTGATACGGTGTCGTCGATGCCCTGTTCAAATAGTTGGGGTCTCGTAATGTATTCGGTGTTTGCCCGACGATGTGAAGGCGGATTTTTAAAGAGATTTCTTGAGGTTGAATGGACTGACGATCTTGGGGGCGTCAAGGCAACGGTCTCGTGAGATTGCGTGCCATCGGAATGCAGGGTGACAGGTGCATGAGAGAGACCGGGAGACATGTTCTGAGGGGTTATTTCGACAGAACAAGCAGGCAAGATGGAAATGCCACGTCGATTCAGGCCCAATGTGACGTCTGTGTGCTACCTGGGGGGGGGATTCGCGGTAGGGGAAAGGTATGAAGGCCGATCAAAGACGAAATGGACCCTTGTGATCTATTCAAAATGCAAACGAAAAAGGGTATAGGTAGTTTCAAGAGTTCTTTAATGTTTCAGAACGTTGAGTTTGCGGTTTTCGAGGACTTGAAACCAAAGCAAATCCTAAACACGAACTGGCAACAGGAAAACAAGAGGCTGGGGGAGATGAAATAGCGGTGGCTGAACGGCCTGGAGCTCTCTCCACCTCCATGATCCACCACATCTTTCTTTCCAATCCGATTGAATATAGCAAAGAGCAATCCCTCCCACTAGACTTCTTTCGAGTTTGACACCGTCATCGACTTGATTTTTCCCGCTCCCGCCGTGCATGGTTTCGGCTGCACGAGGACCCGCGTCATTGCACGTTTTCTGCAAATCCCAGCATGGCTCCTAACGGTCTGAAGCATTTATCTAATGACTTGGCAACGCCCGATCAACTGTCAAACTCTTCATCCTCGATTGATAATGTCCCACCTGACCTCGAAACCTCCATCCGTTGTGCGGGCGCCCAGCTCACTCAAACTGCCGGGGTTCTCCTACACCTGTCGCAAGATATAATTGCTCAGGCAGTCGTGATCTTCACGCGTTTTTGGCTTGGCACTGACGGAGGCAGCTTGCGAATCTACTCAGTCAAGGTAAAACCAGCCCCAGGAATTCTATCATTTTCATTCTGATCCACTAATCGGAGCAGGATGTATCTGCCGCAGCCTTGTATCTGATGGCTAAGCTTTCCTTCCAACCAACCTCCCCACGCTCCGTCCTGAATGTCTACACATTCCTCCTGTCTCAAGATGCCTCGCCTTTGTGGTTTGTGAGGCAGAGCGGGGCTCCTGAAACCCCTCCATCCCCCGAAACGTACATCCTTTCCGAGGGAGGATACCAGTCCGCCCGGCTGGTCCTCCTCCGCACCGAAACGATTATCCTCCGCACTCTTGGTTTTGATACACATGTCGCTCTACCACACACCATTGCGTTGACATATCTTCAAACTTTGGGTGTGGCGAAGCCCGCTGTGGCTCAACGAGTCATTGAGCACCTCAATGCGGCACTACTCTCACCCCAGCTTCTTTATGTCACTCACCAGCCAAATGCCCTGGCTGTCGCTGCCATATACCTCGCTGCACGCGAGGTGGAGGTCAAGCTTGTGGATAGCGAGTGGTGGGAAGTCTTCGATGTCGATCGTGAAGAGCTGGGCTTCTTGGTCGTAGGCATGAAAAGTACAGAAGGCTTTATGCGGGCGGAGGTCAGTCGGTGGAAGAGCAGAGCTATTCCAATGATAGTAAATGAAGTGGATGCCGAAATTGAGCGACGACGAATGATGGAGGAAGGTGAATGAATGGGGCTTTGATTTTCACTAAGAACAGGAGATTCCAGGATTCACAGTCTCCTGGGAAGGATGTTCTGGTAGAAGATAGCAAGCTATCCACTAACCCTTCTACTACAGGGTGCTAGGGGCACTAGCTATCAACCTGAGATCTCACACCCAGAAGCTTGCGAGATCCTGGCCTATACCCAGAAGGAATCCCAGCAACACCCAACGCTGGACGGCCTTGTTTCTGCAGATAGAGCCAAACTTGCGGTCAGAAAACTAGCTGTTTCTACAGCATTGGGTAATCGCCAGGGAGTTCCGCGGCTTGTTCAACTGAACCTACATGTTGTATAGCATATCATCTCTCTAACAGTAACATTTAAAGTAGATGTATCAATGCTATTCCAAGATTCAACTCACAAGACAGTTAGGTAGATTGATGATCATAACAAAATAGATGCTTTCATCCTACTCCACATGCTTCGCTTGAGAAACACTCTCAACAGCCTGGTGATTGTGTCCTCCAATAGGCCTCCACATTCAGGACATTTCGCTAGCTGCATCGGCATACCACATTCGCCAATGGCAAATTGAATCAAAATAGAAAAGAAAGCTTTTTGTCTGGCTAGGGGAACAATTTGAATTTTTTGGTAACCCAACTCACCGTATGTCCGTTGGTATAATTGTACCAGTCCTCAGAGCTCGCCACCATGTCTCCTCGCCCGCCAGCGATGGCAATCTTGATAAATACAAGTTCCTCTGGTGTGACCTCTTCGTATCAGGAACCTTCAGATAACCGACTCATTTCCTGAGGTTTCTCTTGAAGCACCTCATAGCTGCCCAATTGATTGCATCGATTCAATCGGCAATGAACTCACGTGTCGTACTCCTATGGTTGTCACGCAATGCTAGCCCTGTGCTCTTCCGTCTTTTCTTGATCTGTTATATCGGCTGCGAGTTCTGGATAAGTGCGATCGTACCATTGCTATCATGCAAATCATTCGCATGCTTTAACAAATGCAACGGTTGCCGTGAGTATATCGTCCATCACATCTCGATTGATGACACGATTGCATCGTTTGATTATAAACTGACGAAGGGGGGGGGGGTTCGAATTAAGGCACGATGGTATTATGCGAGCAAGAGAGGCAGAACATCCTAAAGGCTGTCGAACTTGCCAGATCCATCCCTTGTGTACACTTCATCTATGCCGACTATGTTGTGGGCCGTCGATTGACTCACTGGTCAAGACATGATTGCATTCAAGCACGACAATTGGATTCTCATGGATGATTTTAGAGTAAGACGTCTATTCTATGAAATCTAGACTAGCGGCTAGCTTGTTACCGCATTCTCGATGTAGACCACTTCGAAAGTCTTCTCCACAAAGGCTTGAGCACTGATGGCGGTTACCCGCTCTGCCTCAGCCTTGAGACCACCTGAGGTTGATAGATATTACATCAGCAAGGCATTATCACGTGCATATCAGTTCACTCACGCGGGGCAGATCATGTGCTCCACCGCTTATCATTTACCATCCCTCCACCGCTTTTTTTGGTATCTCTTCTCTTCACCCTTACCTGTGAACGCAATGAATATCCTACACTCTACACTGTCAACTTGGCGGGACCGCTTGGCCCCAGTATCGCGCACTTCCACCTTCCGTAACACCGGCCAAATTACCCCAGAGGAGTTTGTTCTCGCCGGAGATTATCTAGTCTACAAGTTCCCCACATGGTCATGGGCCGACGCATCAAGTCCGGCAAAACGTGTATCCTATCTTCCAGATGGCAAACAGTTCTTGGTGACTCGTGGAGTACCATGTCATCGGAGACTGAACGATAACTTTGCCGGAGATGCAGGGCTCGAGGATGAGATTGTGAGGGATTTCCTCTCGGGTGGCGACGGCGGCGAAGGCATAGCAGCTAATGATGGAGAGGATGGATGGTTGCGGACTGGTGGTGGTCACAACGCTGGGGCAGACCGTGATAAGCAAGAAGCTCGGATTCGTGACGTGCGAACCGTCGATGAATCTGGGAATCTGGGCGAGCAGGAGGATGATGATGATATTCCCGATATGGAGGATGAAGACGATGACGAGGAAGCCATTATCCGAGAGATAGATGACCAGTCAGGGACTCAGTGAGTGCCAATTTCTTTGTCTTCAACTGCACCTTGATCTGTTTTCTAATCTATGACTCGTTATCGCCCTAGATCGCTCCGCACTTATACCCTTTACATTACCTACTCCAACTTCTACCGCACACCTCGCCTCTACCTATCTGGCTATTTATCGCCATCCGAACCACTTCCACCACATTTGATGATGGAGGACATCGTCGGTGACTACAAAGATAAGACTGTGACGCTAGAGGACTTCCCATGGTTTGAGGGCAGCGTCAAGATGGCCAGTGTACACCCCTGCCGCCACGCCTCTGTGATGAAGACACTTCTGGATCGTGCCGATGCCGCACTCAAGCTCCGCTGTGACAAGCTCAAGCAGACACAGTCACGCGAGGAAGCAAACCGTGTTCTCCGGGTAGGCGGCGGGCTGGAGGGCTTGGTGGATGAGACGAAGAACCTGTCGCTCGGAGACTCCCATAATGCACAACCTGGCGGGGACGAGTGGGAGATGCTGCAACACGACGAGGAAGAACAGGTCGCCATCCGGGTAGACCAGTACCTAGTCGTCTTCCTCAAGTTCATTGCCAGTGTGACGCCGGGCATTGAGCATGACTTTACGATGGGGGTATAATCTCTTTAGATTGGACTTAATCTTGTTTTTTTTTCTGGCCCTTCTTTCACCGGTAGCGATATTCCTCGGCTCCACTCGGCTGGATAATAGGTGGGAGCTGGCGACCTGCTCCTTTGTTCTTGATTTTCGAAATGCGAGATGCATGACATGACATGAATTTGGTGTTACTCTACTTCTGGGCATGCGGGCGTACGGATAATTTTGCTTCCCTCTCCTCCCGAGTTGCTTTTGCTGTGTATCATCTTCGGTGGCTTTGGGGAGTTTTCTATGGCAAATTTACTATGATCTGTGAATATTCCAGAGTAGATGTATTGCATCACGAGGTCAGAAATAAGCCCCTAGCGTCATAGAGGTCAGACCAGGGGGTTTGGAGCTTGGCTAGATGCGCCAGATTGACGAATAACACCAACATGTGCCCGAGGAACAAAAGTGGATGTGTACGCTGTCTGATTTCTGGGGCTGCAGAGTGTGGCTTTGCAGCAAAGTAGGGTTCCCCCAGCTCCTTTCCCAACTCACACCGGCACTTTCTGTTTAATTCCTGAGGTCAGCAGTTTCCTCTCGGGCTTCATCTTGTGAAGGTGGCTACACATAATGGAAGACGCTGTCAAGGATTCCATCAACCAGGTCGATGAGATAACAGGGCTCATCGGTGCCCTTGTTCTTCATTGTTCCCGCAACCTGGTCCGATCAGGGTGATGGGTTGAGTTACATCCTCTCTGATGTGCCCAATCGTCCGCCCCTATCCGGACCTTTGCCTGTGGACCATTTAATCACTGTGCTAGTTTATGATGCCGGGGACGGCTCAGCTGTCTGGTCCTTAGGGAATAGTGCTTTCTGCAAGGTCGAATGGAGTCAAAGATATGGTAACGGAAGCCACGACACTAGAATTTGTCCAGAAACGACAACCCAGCTTCAAGGCACTTATGATTCTATACAAAGCGGAACACAGTGGTCAGTCTTGTCTTCTCTAAGCAGAGTGCCAGGCCGAACCCTTGCCAAAGCTTGGCCCGCTCTAGATGAGAATTGGAAACATTATTACGTGAAAGTTGTGGTGAAAATTTGCGAAATTCTTGTGTTAGAATGACGATAAGTTAGGAAACGTGGATAGGAAAACGGTTTCTGAGCAGTATCTTGATGAGTACGGTGCTGATTATGACTATCATCCTAAGAATCTCCGACAAGGACATAAGCTGATAGATGTAGACTGCTCTGAATTTGATTCTGTCATTCCGATCTCGGCCCTAATCCCCATAGTTAGATCAATTGGGATCATGGACTAGGATGCTGCTTTAGGTTTTCCTGGTGGATCTATCTGAATGGAGTTTCGAAGAAGCAGTGGTTAGGATCCTCTGAGTTCGGGGACAGAGACAGGCTGCTGGCGATGGGAGGTTCAGAGACAAGTCATGCTTTGGTCAGGATTATCCAGCACTATGAATACCCCATTCGGCAATCCTGAAAGCAACTGTGTAAGTATTTGAGATTGGTTCCGCGCGATTCTGCCTTATATACAGTAAATGCCCTCGCTTGGACAGTTACTAGAATAGTCTGAAGTACAAACAGGAGGCGATTGTGTGGTATGGATGGAGTTAATTATAGCACAAAAATCAGATTCCAGATTGATTTCTTGACAAGTTTACTACAGAATCAATGACAGAAAGAGTATGTATGAGATGATAGTATAGGCAAGGTGATATCTCAAAAGGATAGAGTACGATGTTTGCATAACAAATCTAAACACCCCGAAATGGACCGTTGAAGGAATTGGTAGCTTATCAAAGTGATAGATTCGAATTGAGACTAATAAATTGAGAAGCCTAAGTGCGAAGCACGCGCGGACGTCCAAAGTGGACATAGTGAAGAACCATCCGCAGACTAGTCATACAAGAGCCCAGAGGGCAGTAAGAATAAGATTGGACCTCACGAGTGAGCGCAGAAGGTACAGGAGATCTGGGGTGAGACACTGAGAATGACGATTGTAAAGAAAAAAAAAGTAGACAAGGAAGAGAAATGAGATACACAGGTCCAATCAATCATTAGATGAACCAATCACATCGCCGACAGGTAGATGGACTGTCCGGGGTCGTTTTCGCCATTTTTCATCGTGTACAGTAAACGTAGGAGTTGAAGCCAGGGCTTTACTGAAGGAAAGCCAGGATAATGGGAAGAGCCACTGCGAGGAAAATTCCGGGGGCCAGAGATGAGCCAGCGTTGAAGACTGACACGACAGGAACAGAAGGCACAGCAGAAGGCAAAGCGGATGCGGTAGGCACGGCGGGGTGGATCAGAGGAACGGAGGACTGCAAGGGTGCCCAGACAGCAGGGACAGTGGTGAGCGGGCCAGAGATAGGGGTGGTGAAGGTAGGAGGAAGGATGGTAGGAATTTCACTCCATGTGGGAGGGTGGGCAGTCTCAACGGGAGGAGTAACAATCTCGGTGGGAAGATTGACAGTGGCAATAGGCACGACAACAACCGGGGGAGGGTTGGCAGTGGTGGTGTGCACAGCAACAACCGGGGGAGGGTTGGCAGTAGTGGTGTGCACAGCAACAACCGGGGGAGGGTTGGCAGTGGTAGTATGCACAGCAACAACCGGGGGAGGGTTGGCAGTGGTAGTATGCACAGCAACAACCGGGGGAGGGTTGGCAGTGGTGGTGTGCACAGCAACAACCGGGGGAGGGTTGGCAGTGGTAGTAGTAGGCACGACAACAATAGCGGGAGGTTCAGGGCAAGGGTAGCCTCCCTGGTGGCTAAACTCGCCATTGCCGACGTTGACTCGAGGGCCCCCGGGGATACCAACATCGACACCGGCGCCGGCGCCTTGGTCATCGCCTGACCCAGGGCCACAGGGGCCGCGGTGGGAGCCAAGGAACCCAGCACCGACGTTCACATAGGGACCGCCTGGGATGCCGATATTGACACCGCTGCCGGCGGAGGTCTCGCTGTTATCTGGGCCCTGGTTGGTGGTCTCGGGGCCGTGGTTGATAATGTCGGGGAATGGTAGAGCGGGCAGCTGGGGAGCAGAGAGGACGACAGCAGGGCCGAGAGCAAGGGCGAGGCACATAAGGCCGGAGAAGTTGATCGTAGTAGAGACCATTGTTACGGTAGGTTGATTTGATATGTTGTTTTGGGGACGGAGATCGAGGTTTTGAATTAGAAGAATCCGAAGATTGAGTCGATAAAGTGATTGAAAGAGAATTAGAAAGAGCGTGAAGAGTGAATGACTGTTTAGAGACTGTGATGATGGATGTAGAATAGCAGGCGTGAACTATGATCCTTTTGTACTTTCTGGCACCAGTGTAAAGTGCACACTTGGACAGTATCATAGGCAGAGCTACGGGCTCTCCACAACACAAGATGGAACCAGATGGGGAGATTTCTGCAAGGCACAAATTAATCCTTGATGGCACTCATCTACACAAAAAAGTCACAAGGGGAGTGATCTGCAAGGCACCGAGTCAACGGACACTGCCGAGGAAAGGAACCATGAGAGACATCAGGTCTCAAATGGCCTGGGACGAAGTTATTGGTGGAAATTAGGACATGCAAGCAAAATGGTTCAATAGTGAAGATGCAGCTTGGTCGAGAAACCAGATTTGCCCTGAGCAAGCAGCGTCAAGATTTATGCACGAGCCTTCCCCGTGCATCCGAGCCGTCGTAACTGAGACAGAAGTAGCAGAATTTTCACGGGATGGGACGCAGATGAGGTGCTTTGAGGCACAAGAAAACACGTGTGATCGAATACCTAAGGAAGATGGGGCTATAGAGATGCAAGGGATAGTTGCAAGGCACAGATACTCCAAGATCTCTCTCTGTGGGAGACTTTCGAAGAAGCCAATGAGGACATTGGATTAAGATTGAAGGCATATACATCAGATGCAAGGAACTCCAACACAGAGTCCAAATGCAACTTGCCAGGGCCGTTGTCTGTCAAGTCATGTAAACCCGACAAATCTCTGAAACAATTGAAACACAAGAAGTTGTATTGCACATTGCACATATCAGCATATATCAGCATATATCATAATCTCGTAAGGTATTTTGCCAGAAGAGCGAAATTTAAAAAAAAAATATGGTTATAGCATCAAAAGCAGATGTTGCTCCACGAAAATAAGAAAAAATCAAACAAGAAGAAATTCACAAGGATACACAGTCGGACCTAGCAGCCAGATCACAAAGATCCAACCCTAAATGACGAAAAAGAAATGTTTCCTTAGACCTGACCCGACCTCGATGTGCCAAATGCAGTGCCGAAATTAGTGGATTTCTTGAACTTGATTTCAGGCTCTTCATCACCTTGACGAGGGAACTCAGACTCGGAATCGGTCTCATTGGGATCTGCCGATTCTACCGAGCTGCCTAGAATATTCTTCGCTTGAACAAGGAGTTTCTGATCTAGTTCGCTCAAGAAATTCGAGTCGCGCTCCTCATCATTGATCAGACCGAGGGGCCCCTTAAGAGCAGGGTCATCTGGCAAATCCGGGAAGTAGGAGATCTCAGTTTCGGCGGGTTGATGAACGTGCGCCACGAGCGCCAGAGGGGCTTCCTCGACCTCGAGCGGAGTTCCGTCCTGGGTGGACCGTCGACTATCATCAGCGTCGATGATCGCCATCGGGGTGTGACCAGCATGGCGGAGCAAGTTTTCATCGGGCGGGCCAAGCTCTGACAGCTTCAGTTTGAGACTGTGTCGATGTTCCATAAGAGGCCTTGCAGCGGTTGCAGGGGCAGATCCAGGGGAGGTTACCAGGGGCGACGGGGAGGGCGGGGTGATCACTCGCGCTACCACAGCGGGTGGAAGCGCCGTGGACTTGAGCGTTATGCCGTCCAGGGTGCTGTCAAGCTTTTCGATCGGCACTGGCTGACTCACAGGCGCTCCAGAAGGGTCGACCGGTCGCGAATGGGGTGAAAGGGCCCGATCAAGGGATGGCAGATTCCCACTTTCGGAAATTGGCGATCGATAGTTGTGGTCTGGAGATTCATGATCGAAAAACACCCTTGTTGGCCGATAACCCGGACTTGTCCCCTCCCACACTTGAGCTGCGATGCCATTGGTGCTATACTGAGATATCCCACCTGCAAGCACAAGTTTGGCTCCCTCCGATCCCAATTGATTTGTTCTGTTCCCTTGACTTTTCACATACACCTCCAGCTCGGCAATCTTCGATCGCAACAGCGCCCGCTCTTTCTCCCATAACCGGCGCTCCTGCGCAAACAATTCTCTTTCGGTGTCAAAGTTCAGCTGTTGTTTTTGGAGAAGCGCGTGCGATTGGTCAATATAGGACGTATCCATGGTGAATGAATTCACCAACGCCGGGCCTTGGAAAGCGGTTCGGCCATAGCCTGAAATCACAGGAGGAAACGTAGATGAATCGGATTGTGTGCGATGGATTGGTGTTTCGGTCGGAGAGAAGCGGACTTCTTTGTAGAGACTTCCGTGACCGTCTAGTAATTTGGTAGGCTTCATGGTGCTTGCGATTTTGTTTTCTCGCGATAATGAGCGGAAGTCGGCAAGATAAGGGTATATTAGAGATAGATCGGTGGGCACGATCGGACCATGATAGTCACGATAGTGCCCAACCTGCAAAGCTTCGGCTTTCCACGTCGAGACCGGTGGAGTTCCTAAAAGCGGTCAATGAACTCACAGCACTTGGCCATCTAACGCCGGGATTTCATGCAAGGTCACCGATACAGCACATGTCAAGCCTCGAGTGACGCATTTGCAGGTGAAAGGATGGTTGGGCTTAGGATTTGGGCAGCTATTCAGTTACGGGAGTTCCCAGGAGACACAGGGGAGCATAAAAGAGGTTAAGTATAGAAAATCCAAATCCACACAAATTCCGAGGAAACGAGGTGACATGAGAAAAGAAGAAAGGAAATCAAAGAAGAAACAAGTGAACGGACATGATCACAGCTGATGACGTCAAAAGGGTAATCCTAAACATCATCAAGATGATCTCGAAGATCTAATATAATTTTGACTGTAATAGGCCATCTATCTTGTAAGTTTATAAGAGCAATCTACCTAAGACTATTTATCTGGAATCCACCCTTGTACCAAATTAGTGGAACCAATGAAAATGGAGTAAAAAAAAAAAAAAAAAAAGGAAAGCTGAACGTTCTAGTACAGCTATTTGCGCTAAAGATGTGCCACATCAAACCGTTAATATGCACTTGACTGGTATGATCTGCAGAAGTCATGACGTAGAGCTGGCAGGGCTGGCTTGATCAAAACTAATTTGAAGGAGTTAACCCAGATCGGACGGGGGTTTGCAATGCAAAATGAAACCCCCCCCCCCCAAAAAAAACAAAAAATAGGGATATCAAAGATGTTTCGGGAAAAAATAATGGAAAGCCTTCAGCAAACAGACGAGGCGGGCCAGACCCGACTTGGTGCAACCAACGTCTTCTTGAAATCCAAAGACCAAGCTGAGCATCCCTTAATAGACCGACGATCATCGGACGGTCTCAACGACGAACGACTCCGCCAAACAAACTGCTGAGCCTCATCAAGCAGATGCTGATCACCATTCGGCAGCGGATAGAATCTCACATCTTTGCACAAGGCGCCGAAGCGCGTAGCAAGATCAAATACTCCTCGGGCCGTGGGATCCCGACCACCCACGTTCGCAGATGGATAATAGTAGCGTGGATCGAGGTAAAGCAGCACACTATTCCAGAGCGGAATTTTCTCAGATAGAAGCCGTGCCGCAGCCTCGTATTGTTTCAGGGTGCGCTTCGGCACGCCGGTCTGCGTGTGCACAAAGAAGAAGACCTCGAAGCCGACACTACGAATGCGGGCGCGGGCGGTTGCACTAAGCGTGTCCAGGAATTCAGCTAGTCGGTCGAGATTGAAGGAGTTGCGGAGGAAGAGGGTGTGTGTTGAGTAGAGGTAATCTTCAGCTTCGTCGTGGAGCTGGCGGTTCACTGCTAGTAGCTTGCGTGCGGTGCCATCTTCGCCAACCCAGTGAGGACTCATTGATAAGGCTCGGTATTGGCCGCGGGCTGTGAAGGTATTGCCATGATCGCCTAGCACGATCATCGGGTTGCTGACTAGGTACTCATTTGGTACGTCTAGTGCATACTCGTAGATCTTGAGACGAAGCTCGGCTGGGAGTTGCAACAGCCGTGATGGTGATGTCGAGGTGCGACTGAGGTTAGGCTTCATGCTTGGTTCGCTAGATTAAAATGGCAATATATGACAAAATGTTGACCTGCGAACTGGAGTTGTCGTTGTCATTTAAAGGGCAGTGGTACCACTCGGGTGTCGACGCTGTAGATGTGTCGCCACCGCCAGAAAATTTTCGTTCCGTCAGATAAGGGCAATGCCAAACAAAAGAGCGTTGTACAACTCCGTAGATGACTTTGCATAACGTATGTGCAAAAGGCATCAGACCATTAAAGGAAGTGCCGAGTATCTGATCGGCATTCTCTAGGCCTCCGCATTTACTTCACCGCATGTCAAGGAAGTTCGGCAAATGTGGAAAGCCATAACAACATAATGCTAGGCCCTCTCTAGGTAATTACCCGTTCCTGAATCCTGGGCCATGTATGGTCTACAAGTTTTTATGCAACAAGCTTGAATGGTATGATCCTTGTTGGTGACCCACGTATCAGTGGGTCTGATGTATAGCAAGCTACGTCGACTTTCCCAACGCACACGTGTGATCTAATAAATCAGGCTAGAGGTACCATGGAGGAACTAAAACGTGCCATAGACGCATATGCAAAAAGTCCAGTATTCTGTCTCAGGTGGGGTGATGCAGGAGACATTCTATAGTGGAAGTAACTACATTCGTTTGAGCGAAACACCCGAGGTAGACCGTTTGAGAGAGCGCAACTACAACATAGGTAGATCGGCACTGTCAACATCCGTCTCCCCTCATTGCCAAGGGAATCAAAGACATCGCCCCAAGGGACCATGTTGGCAACGGTATCAGCAGCCATTCAATTCCACCAGTCAGTTTTACAATCCTGTTCTACAGTGGAGACCTGATAGTGACGAAAAGACCATGTCCAAAGCTGACTGAAACCAACCACTCCGGCCATGTAAAAAAAAAAAGCCGAGTCTCCAAAGATCCAAGATACAATATCTTCGTTTTGGAAAATTGGTTGGAAAAAAAAGAGGAAACGATCAAGTTCCACATTTGATCATCGCTGTCTATACACACCTAGCGACCAAGCTGCTCGCAGAACGGCCAGACCCCAAGCCATACCAAGACTATCTCGTAGAACATTCAATTTGCTACCCTTGACCTCCCTCCATCCCACGGGCACCTCAGCCACAGGGATCCGAGCGAATTCGGCCAGCATGAGCATCTCAACATCGAAGATCCAGCCCTCGGAATGCATGTACGGCACGATGTAAGGCAACGCACTGCGAGAGAACAGCTTGAATCCGCACTGTGTATCCTTGACAGTAGCAGTTTTAGGAGGCGTCATGAGCCACAGGATCAAATGGAACGAATGCATCAAGAAGTTGCGAAGCTTGGATCGCTATCGAGCAAAGTCAGTACCAACCTCGCAAGCATCCCATCGCCCACCGATCCAAAAATCATACCTTGACCACAGCCTCACTCCCAACCATGTGTGCCCGCGATCCAACCGCAACCGCCCGCCCCTTCGCATCCTCCACATCTCGACAAGCCCCAACAAGCTTCCCCAAATCATCAAACTTACTCGCCCCGTCCGCATCCGCAAAGACAACATACTGCCCACGGACATGGCGCATACCATGCGTGACCGCGCCGCCCTTGCCACGGTTATGAGTCAAGTTCACGACGCGGATCGTGCCGGGCGGGATATGAGCGCCCTCCGCAGCCTTCGGCGTCCACGGACCCGCGTGTCCCTTGGGGTGCAGAGAGAGCTGGTGGTCCCGCGCAAACCGGAATGCCACTTCCTCAGTGCGGTCTGTCGACCCGTCTGAGACGAGGATGATCTCCCAGCCGCGGTCTGAGGCCGAGCCTGCGGCGTCACTGGTGGTATCTCCATTCGGCTTGCGTTTGCGCATTGAGCGCGTCTCCATTGTGCCTGGGCTGTTGGCTCTGGCGATCGCACTGGCTGTGTCCCCGTACATGTGCTCCAGATAGTTGACGGCTTCTTCCAGCATGCCAGTTAACCGGTCTTCCTCGTTGTAGGCTGGCACTACAACGGACATGAACAGCTCGGCTGGTGTGATTGTGTGGGCTGTGGTGGGGGTTGAGTCACTCTCCTTGGCGTCTAGGCTGTCGAGCCAGCAGGGTAGGGGTTCCGGGTCGGTCACGGATCCGTCTTTGGCCAGGGTTCGGTACTTCTTTTCCTCTGGTAGGGGTTCTCGTGGGACTGGCGCAACAAAAGAAATAAATATTGAGAACTATGCAATGGCAAGAAGAGTTAACTGGTCAGTAACTTGCAATTGAGGCTGCGTGTGTCTCCGGAGTGCCAACACGCGATCTGGTTGGTGCAAGCGGAGTGGGGGAAACGTGAACTCACCAGCACAAATAGTCCCAGCAATGTGGCTAGGGCAGCAATGAGTAAGATCTGAACCGGGATTTCCACCGCAGTAGTGACGCATCGGCGACAGATCTCACCCCAAGCTGCCACCATTGTGGAGAGCGACGAGCTGAATGTCAGATGCGGGGACGGAAGAGATGCGGAATGAGGAAACGTGATGCCGGAAGTGATTAGGCAAGCACTTATATCCGAGAATGAAGTAGTTTATTCATAGAGATAAGACAGAATTATACTAGCCATTGAAGAGGGAGAGGGAGAGAGAGGACAGAAGGGAGGGAAGGAATGTTGCAAGTTGATAATCGCCAGCTTGGCCTTTTATCGGCAACACAGCCGGTATCCAATAGATCCACATCTAGGAGCCACGGTTCCTGAGGCACTCTATGAACTATAGTGATTTACTTAATTACAAGTGACCTTCAAATCCGATTTTCTAGAGTCTGTTCCGGTTCTATGCGGTGGATTGGATATTGTAGATATTGTAGCTCGTTTATCTCTCCATACCCGTTTACCTCGGATCACATATATCGGTCACCTAGAATGAAGCTTGTCGCATTCAAAAGCTGATTCATGCTCTATTAAATGGCGCTGCTCTTTGAGGGTTTTTTTTTCAACGGGCAAAGCTAGAGAATGTTCTCTAGGAAAAAATATCAAGAGAAATTGGCCAAGACAGAATAGGATCGCAGTGCCTGAGTACTCTTTGCCGGCCATGCTGCTAACTATGATTCATAGACAGGGCTACAGAAAAGCGTGTGAGTTATGGAAATGATGTTTACCTCAGAAAAGAAGCAGAAGAAGAAGAGTCTTGATACGTGGAGGACAAAGACAAGGGAACTATACACCACATGCAAATACTTCCAACTAGGAAGGGACTGACACCAAAAGTTCTCAATGTTTCTATTCAGATACTTCCCTTCTCTTATCGTCTCATTTCTTCTTCGTACCACCTTGCTTCCCTATGTGATTTTGTGCCCTCTTGTACTCTTGCAACAATTCTTCGTTCAACTAGCAAGACCAAAGCAACGCGCCGAGAAGCGAAGGGTGATTTCTTTCCATTAGCTCTGAATTTGTCACTTCCGGTTAGAAGAAGCACGCAATGGTCCGAGTCCAGAAACTGATCGAAGCGAGAGCCTCGATTTTCAACATGATAAATCCAACCACGGTGAGATGGCATAGCGCAGTGCCTAAAAACTGATCATTACAAGCGTCATGGAACCGGACGGACAGAAGCAAGGGCATCCTGGGGCAGGCAACGTTTCCAAATAACCATGGCAATAGATTCGACGCAGTAATGCTTGGAGACACCGAACGATCCAGTCCTTGGAGAGTGGTCGAGGTAGAAGCAAGCCTTCCAGGGTGGGCTCAGAGAGAAATCTGACATCTATCGTGTAGGCGTGGCCGACCCGGAAATTCTCCGTTTGGCAAAAATGAAAGATATGGATCCGCTCTCTAGCTTGTACGGAAAGAGCCTAAAGGCATGAGTTGCACCCAAGAGGGCCTGGACACTCTGTCTCCAACAAGAAAAAAAAACGAAACCCCCAGGATTCCACCAGCCCCTCAATGACCACCCGTCAAGACGCACAGCTTACGCCATGACGGAACCCACAGCAGAGCGAGCCGTCACCCAACCGCGTTTTCAAACTTCCTGCATCTCCCGTTTGAAGGAGGGTGGTCTCTCAGTTCCTAATGAGTAAAGGTCACCGGTAAGGTAAGCGGGGGATTCCGCCACTGGCGCGAATTCATCTGCTAATCTAGTGGGTGTGAACCGTCGTGTCTGATCGTATGTTATCCAGCGGGTGAACTAGCATGGAATCTATGGTTAGTTTCAAATGTGCTTAAGGGACATAGGGGCTAACAGACAGTTGCAATCCGCACTCCCAGCCAAAGACATCGATGACTTCTAGGAATCACTGTCGAAGGCTCTTCTTTAAGTGGTCTGTTGTCTTCTGTAGGAGCCCCATCGAAGAAGTTGTCTGGGTAGTATAGCCGGCTCCATGCCTGTCCTCTGATCAAGAAATCCTCTGGTAGCTGATGTGTTGTTGAGTCTTCAAGAAGGGGGAACGACTCGGCTTCAATCTTCGAAATGATCGTGTCGGGACGGAACAAAGTGTTTAAATAATTGGCAAGTAGCGACCACGGAACCAACGGTTCTAGTCGTTTTACGGCAGCTGGGTTGAGTGCCAGACACCACACAAATGCCATAGAGATATGCAAACTGGGGTATATCTTTGGATCATCGATTTGGCCTAACATAACGATTAATGTGTGAAACGTGAGAGAACTTGCCCGGAATGCAAGCTGGGACGAGAGATCGCTGGATGTGGTGTGAATGGGTACATTCGATGCACTAGAGGCCCATCTCATTGCCGCTAGACGATCTGTTGCCGATGGATTGCGTGACTTCAATGTGAAATCTCTTTCCACCACTGCATTTTTGTTCCCATATTGAAATATTGCAGCGATATTGCAAGACATGAGTTGCACATCTTGCTGCCTGTCCCAATCTACCCGGCCAATCTCTTTCCGCAGAGTAGTAAGAAACACGTTCGCCCGAGAGACAAATTCTTCAACCGGAGCTTGCATGAAAAGGGCACCGTGAGCAGTCACAAATGACGTAACGAAACATACCCCCTGGACCGGCATATTTATGTTCATCAGAGGAGTGACTAGCTGGATCATGCTCTTGAGAGCATTTGGGAATGCACGCACGCTGATCAATGCTTTCGTGTAGTGAAAGAACTGCCGAAGAACGTCCGGCCGAGCCAAAATAGCAAGATGATGCTGGATACGGCCATTTTCTGGACTTTGGTCGGCATCCTGAGTATACCAATACCTCGATACCCCTGCCCAGAGTTCGCGGTCCGTCCTATCGAATTCTTCCACGGCCATTCGGTACCGTGCCAAGTCGCCCAAACATTCGAGCCAAGTGGCTCTGAATTTTGGCACGCTTTCCAGCAGCAAAGTTATCATTGAGTACGAGAGGTAGACAAAGTCGAGCATATACTCCATGGAGCCGGGGAGTTTCTGACGCAACAGCTCTAAGAATGAATGCACTCCATACCGCCACATGCGCGCCGGCATCGCGTACTTGGTAGCCAGGTCCCTGAGGATCGGACCAGCTGACGGGTGTTGAGAGGCGAGAAAGAAGTCATGATGTTCATAGAGCAGCGTTCGGTGGAGCGAAACGTAGGTCTGCCACTGAGCCTGTGATAGTTCGACTTTGGATTGCGCCTGTTGTCTGTCGATCTCGATGCACTTCTTTTCCACCATAACAAGCCCGGTATAAATTCCCCGCACTTCACTGATCAGTTGCTCTTCGGTGATGGTGTGCGTCTCTGGTTGCCTGAACATTTCATGCGGCTTTGCTTCCTGAGTGACTGCCTCGCCACGCACCCTGTCCCCGCTATGAATCTTTTTGGGATCGTTACTTGTGTTCAATGGCTCTTGCTCTTGCACTTGCGCTTGCATTGGGGTTGCGAGAGAAGCATTCTGAGTACCAACAGAATCTTGACTGGGCATGGCAATGGGTGCTGAGTAAGATATCGTGTCTGCGCGTGTCGCAAAGCCTTGGGCTCGATGCGATTCCACTTCCTTACTGGGTGCACTGATCTCAATTTTTGGATCCGTGGGGCGTTCATTTATACATTGAGGCACGCCGGATCTTACATGCTGAGAAGCTGATCCCGATACCCGCCGGGGCTCGCCACCCCAGCGACGATATTTGCGAACATGTCCTACGCTGGTGCAAGAAGGACTTCTGAGAGCTCGTATGCCATGACCACCGAGGGTTTCCACCGTGCGGTCGTCTGCGAGGACGCCAGTAGACTTTGGTCGAGCACTGGATGATAGCGAGTTCGCCGAGCACCAGCCTTGGGTACCCATCGATTCAGAGATGAGTTCATCTGACAATCGTCTTTTCATAGGTCGCCTGTATTCACAATTAACAAATATGCAAGCAACAGACGCTTCGAATATTGCAATATACCTAGATGACACGTCGCTACGGACAACTCTGTCTGAGAGTCTTGTCCTAGCACCCAACAGGCTATGAAGACTGCACCGAGTCGGTTTTGCCTCCTCACAGCACCGTACGTTGTCACCCATTTTGGCCATCTAGGGAGAATTAGTATGTCGTTTGAACTTCAGAGGAGCCAACACACAGAGTAAGGGGGGAAAAAAATAAAAAAATTAAGAGACGCTCAATCTCACATATTGTCATGGAAATTGAGCTGAGATTTAGAAGCAGGGACCAAACAATTTGTATTAAATAGGTAGAAGTCTTGAAGAGCAATCATAATTCAAAGGCATCCGTGGGCAGTAGGGTGTTTTGGCTCGCTCCGGGGGGTTGGGGGGGGGGGAGTTCCATGCCGATCTCCTGCGCCCATTCTGTGTGATTACTACTCTTGGTTTAGTTGGGTTGATGTACTCCGTACGTATTTACCATACGAACTATGTCCAGTTGCCTTGTTGCTTCTACCTGGTGTCCTATCCCCCCTTTTCTCCGATTTATGTAACTATGTTGGATTGCAACGTTCGAACACCTTCTTAAAGGATTCCAAGACTCTTAGCCCCTGGTGCCAAGTTCTTTTCCTTAACCGTGTATGAAAGAGGGCACTAGCCGCCCTGAACACGTCAGATCTATACATTTCTGCCGCTTACTTTTTTTCCTATGCAAAATAGGCAGAATTCACCAAATTCTCATCGAGATCGACTGGAGATGGAAGAAAATTACCTTATTGGATAGCCTCATCCAACGGTTGTATGTTGTAGAGTTCAAGTCTACCCCGTCATTGCCCGATAGCCTCCCCATTGTCTCCCAATCCTATCCAGATTTGACTTGTGCCGTCTTGTAATTAGAGGAAGCCTTAGGGCCAAGGAGTGGGCTTGCTTGCCCTTGCAGCGCTAGGGCATAAATTGTTCCGTCACCGCTCTTTGGTAACAACCCCCAAATTTGAATCACACCGGTTCTGTTTTTTCACCAAGATTCAACTACGGCGAGGGGGAGGGGGGTTTGGCTCTATTTTTTTCCGCCACAGAGCCTTGGTCGTACTCTCATTTGGCCTGCCTAGGCACTGGGCCGAACCCGGGTGGCCATGGGCGATTTCGCATCAGCTCCAAAATGAAAATCGCCGGATTTTCTTGTGGTTTACCCCAGAACGAGGCAATTTTTGGTTGAATCCTTGGTCTTTCAAGGTTTGATTGGCCTTCAAGGGGGCACTATATTACGTGCACATTATTAGCTGTGTTAGTCTTAAATTCCCAGTGAATGTGGTTCCTCGAATGTCCGGTGACAAGTAATCATGCAACAGACTTGGAAATGGGCCGATGTACGTCGGCCAACGGGGGATATCCATGAGCTTTGGACCACATGGCCTTGTTGAATCATCAAGACACGCAGGTGATGACTTCACTTTGATGGGATTGGAGCTCTGGTTAGGGGTTATACTGCTACCTACAACATAAAAATTCCCCATCGATCGCCATCTCTACCTGATTTTCGATGCAGCAATACATGGGTTGAAACTTGAAAACGGGAGCACTCATATCCGACGTTTACTACTAGGTACTGTGTGGTGGGCCTCTCATGAATGGAGGTAACCCGAACCAACAGATAGGCTGCAATTGACATACCCAACATCAGCCACCTAGTCATTCAAAATCTCCCTACATCCGCACTTTGAATCTTCAAGAACCCAAGTGGCTTGGTAGGATGACATAACTCCGCTTCCTGTCAGAAATTTTAGACCGGGCTGCCTAAAAGCCGATCGCCTAAGCGCCCGTAACAATTCAAACTATCGAGCGTTTTGAGGGGGGCCCGGTAGGAAACCAACAGTACGGCATACCATACCACGACAGCCCGGTCGAGAAATCGGCTAACACATGCACGCCACATGTAATAAATATGGGATACGTTCAAATCCATACAACGAAGTGATTCCAGAAGAAGCTCTGAACTGCAAAAAATGTTGTACTAGTGATAGATGACCAATGACTATCAGTCTTGGTATTCCTAGCCAGAAAAGCAAGGTCGATACATAGACATGAGCGTACTTCTCGGTCAGGTTGTCGTGGTAGGGTATAATGCAGTCAGTTTCAATTCGATCAAACCCCCAATAAGATATTAATATTCAGAACAAATGGAACTGTTGTCCAACCCTGTGCCACCGAATGTGACCTGGGTCGCAATTACAGCCAGGCAACTCACGCGCTCCACTCACCCGAACAAAGGGATCTAGTCCGTTAATTCTACCTCCTTTTACCGGGAATCAACTTAAAATGGAGCCGCTGTAAGGAGTGATGATGTGACTTTGCAAGCCACCCGGGAAGAAGCAGGCGGGAATCACCTAAATAGGTGCGCCACTTCCCATCATTTCCCATCACCCGGGTGAGGGTCTTGAGGGTCTGTTTGTCAGCCCAGCCCCTAGATTCGAAATTCCCTGGCCGGACTCCGTAGTTCTGTATAGCTTCTACAGTCTGTGATGAAGGTACCCAGTAGATTTTCGGTCTTGAACATGTTGGTGTAATAAGCTTGTATGGAACATGCGTCGAGCTCTAGCATGCTACCGAAGTGGGGAAGATGGGCTGCAGATTTCACCCGGGTAAAATCCTACGTGATTTCTAGGGTTCAAGGTTGGGGTGTGGACTCAACAAAAAAAAAGGATCCCTGCGATTGACAAGTCTTAATCGTTCGTTTGGATCGTGGTTCACTCCGTACTTGGTCAGGCAATGATTCCAATGCTCTCAGCTCTCGGTCTCGTTTGCCTTCACATAAACGTGGAGGTTGCTTTGTTTCGAGAATGGTGGATGTAACCTTTGGAGTATGAGGCAAATTCACATCACTATTGATAGGATTGATTGGAACTAGGCGTCCTCTAAGCTCTCATGTATGGGCATGACACTTTACCAAGTTCCGTCATTTCTGGTCAGTGTACTTTTCTTAAACATGAGTAGTTTCATGATAGACTTCATATAAACACGTGTCTAATTTTCAGAGTGAGGGACTGCCTAGTAATGTTAGTCGTTAGTGTTGTGGCCCTATCAGCGGACTTACTCCACGTTGTTATGAAGTTGTAGACACCAATGACCGCTCTTAATATGCAATCGCTGCTCCGCCGAAGTATTTTTCTCAACTTCGTGGACGTTTCTCTTTGCAACAGCCCATCGGAACTTGTGTAATCTAAATGTTGCCATCCCTCATCTGAGACCAAGATATCTATGCGCATGAAGAAAATGGAAACTCAGGGGAAAAAAAAAGAAAGGTATGGTAGAAAGGCTGCTGTCCAAATTTGTACGGAGGGATTGGTAGGAATGTGTGGTCAAGTTTAAGTGCTGTTTGACTAGTTGTAGGCATGGCCCTCTCTCTCTCTTATTAGCCTTGGGGGTGTTTGTTTAGGGTGAAGCTGAATAGCACTTGCTTAAATCGATGCAACATACAACATAGGCGATTTCATGAGCTAGTAGTTTTCGAAAAAAAAAAAAAGTGAAATTGTGTATTTCGGGCCTGATAGCTTCGAAGGGGTGAGCAGGCTCTATACTGAATTTATGGTAATTTAAAACAGCAGTTTCAGAAGAGCAGAAGTAGTTATTCAGGAGTGCTTCGGCTACAGGATGTCAGAAATGTACATCTAGTGAGTTCAGGGATGAAAGAGGTGAGGTTAAGACCGAACGACGTCATCGAACCCTTGGAAAACAATGAACCTCCACAAATATGCGTGGTGTGCCCGAACTCTCCCAAACCACATCTCGCTTCGTAAAACTTCTCAATCAAAAGCCCAAGTCTCACCCAATCCGAATTAATGAACTCGCTCCGCCTTGCCACGCGAAATCTTAAACAAACACAGCCCATCCCAACACACAGGCCAACTATCAGCATCACCAAAGCCGAATCAAAAACAGTCAAAATGTCAACATTCACAATCTCCAACTTAAACCTCAACGTGAATAGCATCCCAGACCTAAGCCAGAATGATCTAGTCTCATTCCCAGCCTTCAAAGTCTGGATAACCACCCTACAGCAATCCCTTGCGCGACAAGAACACCCCTCACACGAGTTCCACAGTGACCCATATGTGCTGCGCAAAATTGACATCCAAGCCGTCGACCGCTTCGGTGGCAGACGACTAGGCTTCATCAAATTGAAAGCGGAGGTATCGAATAGCCACGGCGAGACTTTGCCCGGAAGCGTATTCCTGCGCGGTGGCAGTGTCGGCATACTGGCAAGTTGTCCTCCCGTTTCTACTCGATAGGAATGGGTTCCCCTTTACACTCCAGATACATCTAGGCAAAAAAAAAATTAAGATTGTCTTTCGTCTAAGCCCCACCACTAAAACATAATCGTGTGTTTTGTTCTTTTCTAATTTTTGTTAATAGCTCATTCTCCAGCCGGATGATATATCCTCTCCGACTGAAAATGACAAGCGTGCTATCCTAACGATCCAGCCCCGAATCCCAGCAGGCTCGCTGTCGTTCCCGGAGATCCCGGCTGGGATGCTCGATGACAGTGGGACGTTTGCTGGCGGGGCGGCAAAAGAGATCCAAGAGGAGACCGGGTTACGGGTTGAGCAGGGAGATTTGATTGATATGACATCGCTAGCGCTGCAAGCTGCGCAAGAACCTAGCTACGGGGAGCACCTACAGAGTGCTATTTATCCGTCCCCTGGCGGGAGTGATGAGTTTATCCCATTGTTTCTGTGCCAGAAGTATATGCCACAAAAGGAAATTGAGGCATTACAGGGGAAGTTGACAGGATTGCGGGAGCATGGGGAGAAGATTACGCTTAAGGTTGTTCCTTTGGCGGATTTGTGGAAGGAGGGGCTTAGGGATGGGAAAACTTTGGCTGCTTGGGCATTGTATCAGGGGTTGAAGCAGGAGGGATTACTTTGAGTGAGAATGACGTGTACGTGTAAAAAAGGGACACGGCGAGGTTATTTGATGCAA